CGTATTATAGTTGCTCTAGTGCACTAAACCATATAAATCAACTTGTATCCTTTGTGATTTTTTTATTATTGATAAATGAATTTATTTTTTTAAAAAATATAAATTTATAATTTATAATTAATTTTATATGCTTTTAATAATTTTAATTAATCATTTATATATTTTTTGGTATAGTTAAAAAAAAAAAAGGAGGAAAAACAAACCATTACCGCCAAAATACATCGTAACATGATGCTAATAAACATGATTATTGGGAAAGCACGTTTCAATCCAGGTGTCTAAGCTGGTGGGAAAGCACGTTTCAATCCAGGTGTCTAAGCTGGTGGGAAAGCACGTTTCAATCCAGGTGTCTAAGCTGGTGGGAAAGCACGTTTACCAAAAGGCATGTCGCTAGGAAACATGATTTATGCCGTTGCCTATTTTTTAAAAAAGAAAATTTATGGGATAAATGAAGATGCTACCGTCCATAATTCTTGTTCTAGAATAATGTGGGGGATATCATAAATTAATGGAGGAACAACAGAGGGGAAAAAAAAAAAAGAAGAATTATTTTGCCATCATTTAGGAATGGGGATTTATATTTGATTATTTGTAAATTATGGGACTTCACTACTAAAAATATGCACTTGAATGTAGGGTTCAGCAAATGGTCAGTTAATCAAATAGATAATTGAAAATTATTAAAAAATTAACTAAATAGATATAAATGATTATTGGTGCCTTTTTAAAAAAAATTTTAGTTAGATGACCGAAAAAATTTAATTAGTTAATAATTAGAGAGTTAAAAATTTAAAGCTGAATTTATAGAAAAAAAATATTATATTAATAAACAAATAATAATTATTTAAATATTATAAATAAATATAAAAACTATTTTATTTAATTTTATTTTTAAGTTTTATTTTATAAATTTTATTATAATTTAATATTTAAATTTAAAATATATTTAAAAGTAAAAAATAAAACTCAAAATTTATATTTTACCCTCATTTATTCATTTTTTAAAGATTTTATTATATTTATATATTCCTTAAAAATTTCAAATTTTGATTAAGTATATTTATTACTAAACTTGAAATAGACATTCAATATTGATTTGATTATAACCAATAACTAAAATATTGAAGTTGATTATTTTGGTTACCAAACCAAAATATCTATAAAAAAATTTGATTGAATTTTAATTATTATAAATAAAAAAATAATTTAAAATTTAATTTCAGTTAGACCAAAACTAAACCATACCAAGTCTACCTAGATGTTTCTGGACGATGAAATCAGAGATTGATGGGTCACTGTCGGGCTGCCATGATTTGTTGGGACTCAGGTCATCTTCATGTTCTGAATGAAGCCAGCCATATTGGCGGTGATTTATTTATCTAATTTTTTAGAGATTAGAGCATAAGTATAATATACCAAATGTACATAATACAACTATCTGGACTTAAGCATAAAATTGAAATTAAAAGAATAAATTAGAGAAAACGCGTAACGTGCAAGAATCGAACCTATAAATCAATATCTATGAAATTTTAGCCCTTTTCACTGGGTAAAAAATGTCATTGGCTGCATTTTTATTATTATTATTTTTATCTTGATTATATAATGAGAGACAATCATCTCCTACTTCTTATCTCACCCCACTTCTATATCATGCAACTCAAATTTAGGATTTTTTACTTTCAACGAAAAAAAATAACTATTGAATTACTTAAGTCATTAGTATATTTTTATCATTAAAGGCTCATAATATACATATTAGATATGATTTTATCAACAAATTACAAATTAAAACCTAATACTTAGATCCATAAATAAATAAGTATTTTCTGATATGATAAATTTATAGTTTAAGTCTTAAAAGCAACATTTAAAAAAATTAATTTATTTGAATGGATAAGTCAATGTGAAAGTGCATTATTAAGATTACATGAAAAAATTAATTTTGAAATATGTAAAAACTAATTTAAAAATACTTTAATTGTTCAAATGAAAAAAAAATACAAATTAATCATCTAATAAAAGTAAGAAAATGATTTCATGGCAGTGTTTGTTGATAATGTAACTTTGCAACATGGGGTGTTGTATAGTTTTTATTGGCTCTTTTAATTCAAAATAAGATGTGTAATAATATATGCATTCATTTATCTGATATAATAAAAGCATAATAATTAAATACCAAATTGATTCATTCATTATATTTATTACCTAATTTTTTTTAAAAAATACTTGGATTGAAAAATACAAGATAATCATTTTTTATTTTTGACTTATTCCATTTATATATTATGTGATTTAAAATTAGAATTTTTTACATTTTAT